AATTATCCATTAAAAAAAATAAAAAACCTGGCAGTAAGCCGAGATCATGTCACTGCACTCTAGCCTGGGTGACAGAGTGAGACTCTGTCTAAAAACAAAACAAAACAAAACAAAAAAGAAAAAACAAACAAACAACCAAACAAACAATAAAAAAAAAACAATGAACAGATTAGTCATTCATTGACCACATGGCATCAAGCCTGTGCAGTGATCTAGGCTCCAGCATTAACCCATCATTTATAATATCCAGCTCTCCCATTAGTCTTTTCTCCTCCCACTGGTAAATGTACAAACATATATTTCACATCACAGAACTTCCAAATACGTCACCATCTTTTTTGCTTTAGAAATAAACTTTAGTGCCTCAAAGTTTTGAAAACAATGTGCTCGTTATGATCAAAGCCATCACCAAGTGGGCCTGCCTGTTTCTTTGTTCTGTACACTCTTGTAACATGTAAGCAGCCTCTGACTGAGTTTGCATTTTGTTGACATACTACTCTATTTGCCAAGATTAATGTTAAAGTTAAACAAAAATATTGGGCTCTTTCCCTTTGAGGCATAAAGTGCATGAACTTCCTTTTTCTTTTGAAAATTTTATAATCATATTTATTTTCATTTTAAAAAGCTAATACGCATTCAAAGTGCTTCGAAATTTTCCTTTAGCCTAGATCCCAAAATAAGAATGTTTAGATTACTGCCAGATATACTTAAGCTGGTTATTAGTAAGAACATTTTGGATTTGGAGATAACAGAGTCTAGGGCCCAACAGCCAAGGGAAGTCATACCATCCTTTTCCCCAGAGATAAGAAAAAACAGCCAAGGAAATTCAATCTCTTTTCTAGATGATAAAATTGTATCATTCTATTCTATTCCTAGAAATATTTATACTCACTCTTGATTAGAGGCAGGGGGTCAGATAAAAATCACGTCTCAAGACCCCCTTTAGTCTTTTTTTTTTTTTTTTTTTTTTTAAAAAAAAGAATATTCAAAGCAAATTGCAATGCAACGAGTTTTAGAATGGCTGCCTGTGAAGCGCTGAGAGGGAAGGAGGGTTTGCTGCCATCTCCTGGACGTTTGAAATAAAATCCGCAGGATGAGTGCTTCAGCGCCTGTTCCTTTTAGACAGGGCACTAAGACTGTGGAAGCAGGTGCAGTTTACAAGTCTGGCTGTCCCTGACTGGATAAACAGGAAAACTATTTATGGGTTTTAAAGAATAAAGTTGACTTAAGTGGTTCGCATGTTAGAAAAGTGTTTTTCAAAGTGTAGTTCACAGCCCATTAGCATTAGAATCACCTAGGTTGAATGTTACAAAAACAAATTCCTAGGCCCCACCCAGACCTAGTAAATCAGAATCTCTAAGGTGGGGCTATCTCTAAGGTGGGGAAATCTTAATTTTACACCAGGAGCAAAAATTGGGAAGTTATATGTTGCAACACCATGAAGGGAATAGTTTGCTCATACTAAAGTGCTGTATATAAAGGAAATCATAATAGTCCATTCAATGTAAAACTAAAATTAAAAGTTCTAAGTAGTATATTTAACATTGCTCTTTATTTCAGTAATACCACCCACAATGAGTTGTGATATTTCAGTGAGTATTTCATAATGTAGAATTCAAAATCTAGCCCATATTGGACTTACGTGAAGAATTATGATCCGCACCACTTGATAAACAGTAATAAGTCATCCAACCACAACCAGCAGACTATGAGTGTGAATTAAAAAAACAAAAACAAAAACAAAACTCCTGACCAAAGATCTAATTGTGGAAGGATTGGAATGAAACCTTAAATTAGTACTTTATATTAGTTCAACCAATTCCTTAGAGATTCTTAGTTCTAGAAAATGGTTTTGTGAACATTTCTTTATCAGTGTTAGATATGCTAGGTGAAAAAAGAACTAACGGGTTTTTAGTGCAGAAAGAGATCTAGTTTTGCTTTATTTTCAAATGTAATTAAATGGCGCAAAAAGAGAGTAAAACTAAATCAATTTAATTGTTTTTGAAACAAAAGCTATTCTGGATTCAGATACAATGTTCAGAATCTCAGCTTGCTTTGATTTTTTATCTTCAAGATGAGTCTTGACTTCTGCTTCTGACTCAGAAGGATTCTAGAAGTACCAGAAAACCCACAAAAATTCCCTGGGTTTGAAAGGCAGCTGGAATATTAAGTTCCTCCCTATGTCAGTGGCTCAGCTTCTTAGAACTGTTTTTCATCACTTGCCCTGAGCTGGGAGTTTGCTCTGTTCAGGCCAAGGTTTCACTCTTTCTGTTTTTGGAAAGTGATCATGCTTCTCAGGCAAGAGGATCAATTACTCTAAAAAGGCCAGGTTGCTGACCCTTTGTCCTAGGACAGTGTGGAAAGGAGGGATAAGGACAGCTGTGAGCTGCGCCCTCCTAGGTCAGCCCAACTGTTGCAGGTCTGAAGTGGGGTAGTCTCAGGGATAGAGTTGCCAACTGCTCCACTTTCAGTGTAACAGGCCTATTTAAGCTTCAACTGTGCTACCAGGTTACTCAGGATACCAGCTATCCTGTTTAGAGAATATGTTTGGTTTACAAACATTTCCCCAGAAGAGCTCTCTTCATATTGCTAAGTCCACTACATTCATTCTATTTAATATTGGTACTTTGAACTGAAACAGTGTCTTTATAGTAGAGGCTCAAAGATGATGTTAAGTTTATTTTATAAAAATATTGAACCAGTCTTTTTGAATCTGGTCTCATCTTTGTATACCACGAAAAGAATGCTAGCACAATAGATGAATGCAAAGCAGGAAAAAATGGACAAACAAGCTGAATACAGAGGAATGTAAACATATAAACTTCAGTAAGAAGAAAAAAGAGAAAAAACAAAGATCTCTCAATTAACAACTCCTGGGAATAGATTTCTTGTGTCAGTGTGAGATTGATAGCGACACTACTTCTACCTTTTCTATTTTAGTTGTGGGTCTCAAAGTGGGATTCATATTAACAGAGAACACAAAAGAACTTGTTTAATTGTGTTTTCCTCATTGGAAGTTTTTGAAATAGTAGCTATTGTTTATTGAGTGCCCCTTAGAATAACAATAGTTAACATGTGTTGAATACTTTCTCTGTGTCAGGCACTGCTTTATATACATAATGCATTTGTTTCATTTAACCTTCATAATAACTTGTGAAGTACACCTATTATTGTTTCCATTTCACTGCTGAGGTACTGAAGCACAGGGTGACTGAATCCTTTATCTAAAGTCTCCCAACCAGCAGGAGGCAGGCCTGGGTCTCACAGGCAGGCAGTGTGGCCCTAGAGCCCACACTCTTAACCACTACAAATGTATTTCTTGTGGGCTCAAGGTTTACACGTCTTATCTCATCTAATAGTATGTGAAGTTCATTTAAGACATGATTACTTTTTGCTTTTCCTAAATTTAAAAAAAAAGTCTTCTTTTTAATTTAAAAAATTGGAAGGAATCTTAATCTCTGCATTATTGTCACTGAAATTTGAGGGTTTCTCTCATCACTATTCTATTCTTCCTTTATTTGCCAGGTATAAATTACCGTAACTCTGGTAATATATGATGCTGGTTGGCTGGAAGCAGTAGGTGTTTGAGGCATTTGGTCTAGTGCATTGTGAGAATTTGTTCAATGGAAATCAGCAAAATGTTGAGCTTCCCTTCGCCATTATTGAGTTATAATAAGCAAATAGGCTGATGGAAATAAAAACTACAGCTTTTCCCCATGTACCCTGTTTAAAAATGTCTATCGCTTGGAGCTACCACACTCTAAGATGTTTCAGTATTTCTTACTTTGATTTAGAAGGTCCCAGCACTTTGGAAGGCCGAGACGGGTGGATCACGAGGTCAGGAGATCGAGACTATCCTGGCTAATACTGTGAAACTCCATCTCTACTAAAAAATACAAAAAAACTAGCCGGGCGAGGTGGCGGGCGCCTGTAGTCCCAGCTACTCAGGAGGCTGAGGCAGGAGAATGGCGTGAACCCAGGAGGCGGAGCTTGCAGTGAGCTGAGATCCGGCCACTGCACTCCAGCCTGGGTGACAGAGCGAGACTCCGTCTCAAAAAATAATAATAAAAAAATAATAAAAAAGAAGGTTTAGTGTAAACTTTGGAGTTATCTCTGAGACATGTAAAACTCATCACTTCTGATGAGCAGTTCCTTTTATCTGTGACCTGAGTCTTCTTGCAATTAAGGGAGATATTATAGCCTTGCGGTTAGAAGACGGCCATGGATTTTGACTGTTGGGTCCTGAGGTTTAGCCCTACCATGTTACACAAGTTCCTTAACTTTTCTTTACTTCAATTTCCTCATCTTAAAGTGGGATGATAATAGTACCTACATCATACTTTCATCATTTTGTGGTGACAAAAAAAAAGTGCTTAGAATGGTACCCAGCATATCATAAGCCCTCATAATTGTTACCTTATTAGTGGCTCTATGATTTTAAATTAAGGCAATAAAGCTCTGCAAATGTAATGAGTTTTTACAATTAACCTAGAAGCTCACATCTTCTTTTTTTGAAGTTGGTGTTGGGACTATTCAAAACCCATGTTTAGAATCTATTACACTAGTTCCTCAGGAGATGTTTTCAAAATAACAATGATATATAAAAGGAAAAAAAAACGACTGGAAAAAATGTAAGGTTTAAAAGTGTCCTTGCTGGGAAGCCTTTGACAGAAATAACTGTTGAGAAATCTTCCACTGAGGAATCTTTGAGGCAGGAAGGGTTTGCTGCCTCATGCACTTGACTGCTAGCCTGACTGGGATTGGCACCGTGACACTCTAAGATTCCAGGGGTAACTATTTTTCAGAGTGTAATCTGAAATACTGAAAACTTGTGACTCCCTCAGTAATATTCTGTTGAGAATTATTCTTGTTGAAATGCCTTAAATTATTATTGATTTAGTAGCAAGCCATGCTAGGTGCTGATTCACTACTTAATAAGAAAGTTCCCTGAATTACATTTAGTTAAAATGGCAGAAAGCCAAAGGGAGCACTTCCTTTTATGCAGAGACTTTGATTATGCTTTATTTTTAAAAATCACGTTCTTCCCCCTTACCAGCCGATGAACAACACCTATTCATTCTGAAATAAGAAAATGAAAGAATTTTGAGAAGTCACACAACATTGCTGTCAATTTCATTTTTTTTTTTTTAACTAATAAAACAGATGCTTCTTTCTCAGAGATGGGTTTTCACTTTCAACATGCATCATAGCATCTGATTTTCTGAGCCATCTTGGGAAATGGAGTCTTTCCTAGTATCACTGAATGTGGTCAAAGCCATCTATGAAGCATAGACAGTAGGCTCTTGGTGAATCAGTTTGGGAAATTCACAATTAAGCAGTCTCAGGGAGTGAAATTCTGGGGTCTGATGAGACTGTGGAAACCACGTGGTACTGTAGGGAGAGCACAGGTTTTGATGCCAGACAAATATCTAAGTCTAACCCTAATCTACTGCTTATAAGCTTAGTGATTGTTGCACAAGTTGTTTAGCTTCTCTGAGCTTAGATACCTCATCTGTAAAATGGGAATAATATCTTCTTTTTCAGTGTAATACTGAAGAATAAATGAAATCACAGTATAACTGTTTAAGAATTCAGGCTGCAGACTGAATCCAGGGGCCATTACTTAACATTGTATGATCTTTGGCAAGTTACTCAACCCCTTTGTGCCTCAGAATCTCATCTGTAATCTGTAAAATGGGGATAATATTCATACCTAGCTCACGAGGACTGCTGATTAAAAGCAGTAATCTGTGAAAGATACTCAGCACAAGTCAGGGCCCAAATTTTGTGCTCGGCTAATGTTAGCTATTATCAAAACTTATGTAAAATATTTAACACACTTCCTGCGTAGAGCAGAAACTTAATACATTAACTCCTATCTTTCCCTCAGGACCCATGAGATTATTTGAATGACTGCTTCTGTCCCCACCCATGTCATCCTAACTTGAACCAAAATGCTTCATTCTGGGTTCTTGCGTGGCCTTGATTATTGTGCCAAATAAAAGTATCAAAGATTATCTGACTTCTACCGTGTATCCTGAAGAAAAGACAAATCAAAACACTATGGCTTTTGTTATTTACTTCCAAGAAGAACATTTTTCTGTTTATTCTTAGAATGTGCATTTTTTTTTTCAACTCAGGGCCAAGTACAACCTTTTGGTTTTTAAAATTTTTTCAACTCTGGGCCAAGTACAATCTTTTGATTTAAAAAATTTTTTTCATGAACAAACCATCACTAGTTATTAAAGAGCCGAAGAAATAGGAGCTGTGAAAGCAGGATTTCTTCATGTTACCTTTGAATGTTGTTATTTTGAGTATTATCATTATCAGGTAGAGGAAGAAAGGTAGGCTGGGAAGTAGATCCTTATGATATCTTGACTACAGATCCCAGATTTACATTTCACCAGTCACAGAGCACATGCAATTTAGATAAACATGTCAAGAATGACATAAACAGAGGTAAACACGAGGAGCTTTACATGTGGAACCAAAAAATAAAAATTAGAAAAATTATTACCTATATTAACAAAAAATTGCTTAAACTCTAGGACTCTGTAGAAGTCTAGCTTTCTCTCCTGTACACTTGGGATGCACTTTATTGGCTGGCAAACCTTTGATAACATCAGAAGTCTGAGAAATGTCTGACAAGATTTGATATTTAAAATTAAATTTCTCTTTATTCAATTGCCATTGAGTAGTGCTGTGATTTCCAAGTGCCAGCTAGTTTGGTGTACAAATATACATACCACAGAAACATACAGTTTTTTTAAAAATTAAGAAACTGGCTGCACCTGACAACATCAAGAAAAAAGATAATTCTGATTCAAGGGCTTCTCCAGAAGATGGGGTTTCATTGGCATGACGCTCATAGGATGACCTGTTGTTTTTGTACTATTTTTTCTAGAACCATAGAGGGATGACAGTCACTGGTTTCTTAGAGCAATTTTGCCTGGTGTCTGGATCCTGTGGGAATTTATTAGCTTGCTTTGTGGCCCTTGACCAACCCTGGTGGGACATCTAGAGAAGAATTCAATTCTGCTTTTTCCCAGAATAATTGTTGACTAACTCAGCAGCACCAAAGTGTCACAGGCGTCTTTGTGTCCCCCAGAGTCCAATGATATGTGGAACCAAGACCAGCGAGGGTCATGTTTCTGGGAATACAGTGTTGGCTCTTAGAATTTATATATTTTTTCTCATGAACTTATAAAAATGTTTAAAAACAAACTCAACAACTCTGATGTTAAAAGGGAATGAGCACACGCCCCACGACTTCCCTCTAGAAGCATTTCAAGCATTTAGATTTTCAAAAACAATCATTTCTTTTTGATGACCATGACTTCAAATGCCATGCCTGCTGGGCCAGTGGTGACTCATCAAACAGCAACTGATTTCAATAACTCACCCTTAGAATGTGGGTGCTTGCAGGAGCCCTAATTTATAACTGGATGAAATCATATGCAGCAAAGGGCCTTTATTTGATAGATTAAATCTAAACGCAGACACTAACAGCCATGTGTCTTCTGCTTTTAAGAGGGTTTACTGTGAAAGAGCCACACAGAGTGTTCGACATGCCACTCAGCAGTCAAATGACCTTCAAAGTTCTTTAACCTTGTAACTGCAAATAGGAAAATGGTCTCACATACGTTAGTCCACCCTCTTTCAGTGTAGACCATGTGTATTTTACATCTCAGATGTGACTCATGCTGCCAGGCTAGAATTTAGGCTGTGTGATAATTCTCAGCTGTCCCACAATGCCTGCTTCTTGAAAGAAGTCGACACTTTCTAGAACAGCTAAATAACCTGGGCTTATTTTAAAGCACTATTTGTAACTCAGATTGGTTTTCCTATGGTTAAAATAAGTCCTTCTTGTGAAAATTAAATAAAACAGTCAATTCAAAGGCTTTATACACATTACCACTAACAATCATACTAAACATATTTTGAAGTACAAAGTTTGACATGCTTTAGAATGACAACCCAAATGTGTCTTATAAAACATGTTCCTAACGAGGTATGCTTTACACTACCAATGCAGAAACTGTGTATTTCTTCCTCTCTAAAAAACAGGATGTGTCAAAATGATAAATGTTGTAAGATTAAAGTGGCAATGCTCAGATTTCCACTCTTACCAGTTCTGGGATTCACTCTGCCCTCCTAGAAGACTGAGGGGAATATGCTGTACTTACATGTCCATGGAACCTTTCTTCCTCCTAGAATCCCAAGTGTTATGCAGATTCACTACAGCACAATATTCCGGTCAGGAAGAGAGGTTGACACATGATTAAGGGGAAACTTGTGGAAAGAGAAATGTTTAAGGTCCTGCAGAAAGTCAGTGACTGTGAAGACCTTGTTCGTTTATATTCTAGTGCCTGTATTTAAACCGTGCAGTGGATTTGGGATGCTATACATAAGGTACCTAACATAACATAGGAACTCAGTAAATGATTGTCACTCTTGAGCTGGCAATGAAAATCGACTTCGTGGATGCTCTGCCTAGAAATTATGCTAAGGACAAAGGAAGAAGCAAAGTCCTAAAAACCAAACAAAAACTGCCTGCCTACACCTCGTAACCAGCGGACCAACCAATCAAAGTAATACCAACACAGCTAAGCCAATAACACTCAGATTGAAAATGTACCCCCTGGGAGGGAGGCTGATGTCTGGAGGTCTAACTCCCTTCTGTCACACTGACATCACTTCCTTGGCCCCAACCTGAAAGGTGGCACATACAGCCCCCTGGTGGGGAAACAGGGAAAGCAAATTCCTCTTACTCCAGGGAGCCGGTTAGTCCTTCTCCCTCCCACTTCCCATCTCCCTCAGAGTGAGGTCAGACCTTGTTGTGGATCTGGTTTTGGAGAACTTCCACCCTCTTCTATAAAGTGGGACTGTATGGTCCAAGATGAGACCTATGCTGCCAGTGCCCAGCTGAAGTTGTAGATGCTTTTACTGCATGCCTGACATGCCTCTTATAAGGTTTTGGGGAACTCCAAATAGTCCCAGGATGACCAGAAGACATAGTCATGTTATTTGCGTCTTTAGTTATCAACTCCAAATAATGGCTCTGCTAAGATTGCCACCTGTCCAACAGGAAATGGAAAGAAAACACTTCTCATTCCTGCATACCACACCACTAGACAACTGGAAATACTTCTGGGTCACTACCATCCTAGGAGACTTTTAAGCCGATGATCTCAAACTGACTACCTGTGTGTTCCATGTCTTTCCTCTAATTCATGCCATTCTTTAAATGCTATGTTAAGAATGCAAAGCTATAAAAATGATCTTTTTTCCTGCTGCACCATAAGAAGCCTTTTTTGGTTGTTCTATTACAAAAGAATTCAAAATGCAAGCATTCAACAGATTTCCTTTGCAGGGAACAAGTAATACAAACAACTGTGTTATATAATGAATAGATTGCTTTTTTCCTTTATCCTGTATTAATCTTAATTGGTTTCCCAAAAAGGCAAATAAGAGACCAAGCTACAGCCTGTGGTTGTAACCTCTAGGTAAATTTCCGCCAAAAGCAATGAAAGATTTTCCAGAGAAAAAGCAGAAGAATCAGCCCCATTGTTCTGCAGCTGACTTAATTCTCCTTTTTATGTTTTAGAAAGACCTAAAGATTACAGTTTTACAATGTATGGAGAAATAGATGTGCTAACAACAATGAAATGGTTGTGGGAGCCATACAGAGAAATGTCAGAGAAATTACTTAGATCAGAATAGCTCATACAAGGAAGATTTTTTTAAAATATGGACATTGAACAGATAAAGAAGACAGTAATATTTTAATAGGATAGTGAAAAATATAGCAGATTGACAGTGACAGCAGAAAAAGAACAGGAATACAGATATTTTCAGAAGATTAAAATGGTACTGTGTACCCTCAAATCAGGCAAGTTTTTCTGAGAGGTCTCTAAACATATCTCCTGCATAGAGCAGATGATTTTCCTTGGAGCTGTCATAAATGCTTTATAGTTCTCTACATTAATTCACGTCGAATATTTTCCATGGTTGGTCAGACTCAGACTTAAAATAGATCTGAGAAAGGTCTTCAGGTTTACTTTCAGTACCATTATTCACTTCATAGCCAGCTGGGTGACGACATGGTGTGTGGCCAATTCAAGTTTACAAGGTAACCTTGCCTGAATTATCCTGGTCCATTGAATACAAATAATAAAGTGAAGGTGAGAGAATAGAATTACAAGGAACATGGGAGAAGCAGTTGTCAAAAAGCAAAACGAACACAAGAAAAAAAATCTGTGAGATCACTCAGAAATGATGCTAATAATTGTGTGTTCTCACCCCTACAGTCTCCACACACACGGGGTTCCTCGTGCTTCACAATCAGCCCCTGTCCTCAGTCAGTAAACCTTCAGGTCCCAATCATGTGGTTTCTCCAGGTAAAACAACAGCCATGCACCTTATGTGCATCCTGCTTTTTACACGTTACTTCATTATCCTGTGTACTCTACCACTTGCCTCAGCTGAGGAAAACAAACTTATGCTTTCATGGGCAACTGGAGATCTAATCACTTAGTTCCTTAAGTAACCGGAGAGGGAGGGTGGGAATCCATCTTTAAAGATAATTATCCTTCTTTCCTTATCCCATTTACTTCATTATTATTATTATTATTATTATTACTATTACTGAGACAAGGTCTCACTATGTTGCCCAGGCTGGTCTCCAACTCCCGGCCTCAAGCAGTCCTCCTACCTCGGCCTCCTAAAGTGCTAGGATTCCAGGCACGAACCACCATGCCCGCCCCATTTACTTTAAATAAGTCTTCTGAAATGAGTTTACATATGTGAAAACATCTGGCAAAAAACCTAATACATAATAAGTGCTCAGTAATTATTAAGACCCTCTTTCTCACCCACTTCTTACTAAACTATATACATTCCAACAGCCCTCCGAGTACCTTCTCTGTGATATCAAACGGGTGGCTGAGATTGAGAGACCAGAGCTGCTCCCTGTCCTCGATAGATTCTTTATTCCTTTAACACTAGTAATAGAGATAAGGCACTATCTAAAAGGGAAATCTCAGTCAATATAGGTTATACTTTCACTACATTTGAACCTTTCAGCATGGGAGCACAGCTGTTATGTTACGTAAAGGCTGATTCCTGATGTTTGATATCACTGATCACTGTCTTTCTTGTGGCTACAGCACAAATCCTAAGTATCCTGCTTACTTAATATAATGGTACATGTCTATTTTTGGGTGCTCCTGGATTTTTTAAGTGTGCAAAGAAGATAAATATATTTTAGGTCAATCTGAGTTGGATTTTTGACTCATTAAAAATATTATACTCCTTGGACCCAGAATAGGAGGTGACATATCTGAAATTAAGTAAGTTGAGGACTTTGCTAGGCATTCTCAGGGACTCAAGAAACACTGCAAACAATTCATTTCAAGCAAAGTGGACACTCAGCTTCAGCTACAAGATTACTCTTCCACAACAGATGGTTTCCACACCTGAATTGTGACACCACTTTTCTTGGCTGAGAACTTTGGCCTTGGTGCCACAAAATAAGATGATGAGGCTGATTCTTGCTTTGGCGAGGTGGGAATGCCCACAGGCACTGGGGATGCACTGACTGGTGAGGAGGCCTCTGCAAAGAAGGAAGGAGGAGAGGTATAGGCTGGTACCGAGTACACTGACGAAGCCTGCACATTCGTAGGTGAGGCAGCATTCACTGGCCGGGGAGGAAGAGCTTGCTTCATGGCCAGGGCTGAATTGACCTTGACTGATGGCTTTTGGGGGAGGCCATCCTTTGCATCTGGAGGTTGGAAAGTAAACAAGGATGCATTGAGCTGATACGGTTGGTGCTTCATGACATCTAATGCATTAAGGGGTTTCTTCCCCTTTTTCTTGCCGGGTTTGGAGGCCTGTGCGGCTGATGGCTGAGACTTGAGAGCAGCCAGTGGGTAAGAGGGGGAGTGGATAGGATTATAGGCCACAGGAGGAGGTGCTCGGACATTGGAGGAGTACTTCCAACTGGCCGGGAGAGATGGAGTGGGAGACTGAGCTCGAGCAGCGTGGGCCTGCACCGTGTCTGAATCCACCACATACTTCTCCATTCTCGACTGCCTCTTAGCAAAGAGCTGAGCTCCTCTCCCGCTCATTCCTGGAAGCTCATTGGATGGTCCCACTGCACCAGGCTGAGCAGCATTGACTGCTGCTGTGGAAACTGTTGGTTTGGGTGTGTAATTCTGACTGGCTACTGCTGCTTGTGGTCCTTTGAAGGGACCAGCCACAGTCAAAGAACTTGCAGGCCGGGCAGGAGGGTAAGAAGGCTGGGCTATTTTGATGGAGGAGACAACGGTGCCCTTTGATGGGTTGGATGTGGGGAAGGCAGGAGGTTGGGTGGGAGCCACTCCTGGAGACCAGACTGGGGAAACTGGAGTTACTGGTTGGGAGGATGAGGACTTGACAGCAGGTTTTGGAGCAACAGGAGGAGGGGTCTTTTGTTTGGCAGAGGAGCTCTGCATGAAATTACAAGCCTCTGCCCCCAAGCTGAGGTAGTCTTCTTCCGGTCCGGAATCACCTCCAGCTCCAGTGCCCCGTTTGCCTTCTGAATTTTGAAGCAGTGACAAGAGTTCAGGATTTGGGCTTACTTTGGGCTCTTTAAAAGTAAACATGGGTTTTGTCGTGCTTCTCCTTTTGGCCTCCTGCAATATTCCTGTTCTTTTTGCTGGCACTGAGATCCTCTCATCTCGGGAAGCTATTCGCTCAGATGAATCGTAAAAGGCTGGCTGGGACCAGGGGGCAGCCTGGGGCCATGGAGGGGGCTGTGCTGGGCCAGCAATTGGACTTGATACCCCTCTGGAGAAGGCGTCAGGGGGTGGAGTGACTGCAGAGTAAGGTGGAGGTGCAGGAAAGTCAGCAATAGGACTCGTCATGTTTCGGGTTGGCGAGAAAGGGGTGGCTGGCTGATTCACAGACCCTGGGAAGGGTTTGGCCGTTCTATTCATGGGGGCCATCCTCTGGATGTTTGCTGTCTCAGATGCCCCAGTGAAGCCATTCTGTTGAGGAACATGGCCAAGACCATGACTCACCTCGATGTAGCTTTTGCTCACAGAGCTCTGCGTTCTCACCGACTCTTCCTCCCTTCTTTGGTAAGAAGTCATAGTTCTCAGGCCATCCGTCTGGGCAGCACCTTGTTCTCTGCTTGGCGTTCCACCTACCTTGTCCTCTTCTTTTTGGGCTGTGATCTGATCCATTCTCTCCCTCCTCTTGGCAAACATGAGGGCTCCCTTGCCTGTGGTGTCTGGTAACATCTCCATCTTGTCCCCTCTGTTCAGTTTCTTTTCAATGTTCACCAGTCCAGAATCCCAGTCAAATTTCACAACTTGTGTGTTGTCGTCAACGTCAGACAATAACTCTTCATCCACCTCTGATTCGCTTGCACCAAGAAATGCTACTTCACATGTATCCTCCTTATCACCTTCTTCCTCCTCGTCCGCCTCTCGTTCAAGCTCGCCAGTACCGTAGCTAACTAGGGTGTATTTCCTGGCCCTCCGACGTCGCTTCTTAAACATCAACACCCCCTTGGAGTTGGGGTTGGGAGCATCTGTTAGAAGAAGGGCAATGCTTTTGCATTTAGATTTTGCTTCCTTCACTTGTTTTTCTGACAGGCTTTCACTCCTCCTGAGCCCTAGGGAGAGTAAAAAAAAAAAAAAAATTATATTGAGCTGATGAGTTCAAGGAAGACACCACAGCAACTCAGAAATGAACTCTCCTGGGGGAAAATAAATATGTATAAAATTGTCATTGAGTATTGAATTTTGAAGGAATCCAACACATTTCTTTTTCTTATTTCTCTTAACATATTTCCTTCTACAATAATATACTGTTCTATTTGTTTACATAAAAACATTTTATATATGCTGATTAGAATATATGTTTCATACATTTGTTTCTCTAGAGATCCTTCCACTTTAATAATAAAAACTGGTTAGTAAATGCCAATTAATAGGATAAAATTAGAATTAAGAAGGACATAAAGACATAATATTTTCTGAAAAACAAGATGAGATATATCTCATACTTCCATATTTTAAAATAAAGTGTCAATATAAAACTGTTTCCAGGAATCTTAAAAAGGGAGGAGTGTCCCACGAAGATGTTTCAAAATTTTCTAAATGTTTTAATGTAATGAATTTAGCTATTTAGGTTTTCTTCTTTCTCTTTTTTCTTTTTTTACTCTGACAACTGCCCCAAATCTTTCCATTCACAGCTACTGGATTAATACAAATTTGAAACACTGAATTAATCGTTGAAGGTACTGAATCAATAATTAGTTAAAATTCAAAATATGACATTATTGTAAATACATATAAGAAGCTGTAGCTACAAAGTTTTCTAGACAGATTTGTTGGTAAATGTATTGCTATTTTGGAAATACAATATTACTTTCCTTGCAGCAAGAATGAATCTTGGAGAAATTTAAAAATTGACTTGTGACCCACTTAACTGTGTAAAAACTGATGCAGAAATCAAGTCATTTAAAACAAGAATATGATGGTTATAAAATAAAAATATTTAAAATTTTCTTTCATTATTACTATTATAAAAAATAAATTGGTGGCAAATTAATTTATAGCAACTAAACATATAGCATCTATCATTTATAATTTATAATTACATCATGTTTTCAATGATAATGAGTATGAGTCCCCTAAATTTTTTAATTTCTCAAAATAGTTAAGTGGAAAATTAAGAAAAATTTTTTGACTATTTTATGATTGAAAATTAGCTCTTTTTGTCACAGACTTAATGGTTAAGTTTTAAAAAATAAAATATAATCCAAGGAAATAATTTTATAATATGATTACAGGCATTTACTGGTGATCAAATTTTCTAGAGAAAAAATAGTTGAAACTGAGGTTATTACTAAATATAATTCCTTTTTTGACTAGTGTTATACAACTTATTAAACTGACAGTCACAGTTGCACAGTTGCTGCTAACCTCACTGCCAACATGTAAGGTATGTGAATGGTGTCTCAATACTCTTGTTTAATATGCTATAAATGTGAAGATGGCCTACAGATGCTTAAAGTATAAGGAATGATTAACAACACTTGCCAATAAAGCTACAAATGGTTATGCTAAAAATATGCTTTGAAAGGAATAACAATAGGTTAGAAGACTTAAGATTCTACTTTGAATAACTGAATTCATTGCCATTGTGTATCATATATACAGTCAAGTGCCTTTGCCTGTCAGCCTTTACATCCTCAAATAAAATTCCAAAATTAGTAAAAAAAAAAAAAAAAAAAAAAGAAATAAATAAATAAAACAACAGAAATCCTAACACTTAACTGCAATTCTTATCCCTATTCTTCTTTTTGTCTTCTCTCCCCTGGGTAAAACAAAATGCCATACAAAGCACTGAATTTAAATATATTTTATGTTTGGAGACATTTAAATACCTCCACATGGCCCTGGAGACTGACTTCTGCGTGTAGAAGGTAGATGAAACACTTTGCAGTCTAATGAAGACTTACAAAACGGAGAGGATCATGTAACTCCTCACTATACATATGTCCTTGTCTGTCAAACTCACTTCTGCAAGCATCATCAAGCTGCACAATGATTTTTTTCAAAACGAGGATCTGCTTTTGATATCAGTGGTAGAGCTTTTATTTTAAAGACACCTCTCAGTAGCAGACTCAACAGTTTCTGACATTTAAACTGAGTCCACATGACTTCAAGTGCTTTCTTATGCTATTTTAACATGAAATATTTCAACTTTCTGAAACAAAATGAATAGGCACATTGACAATATTATTTTCTTTAACAGTTCCTGTGCCTTTGGGGATAAAAATAAATTCATGAAAAATGTTTAAATCTATATGAAGTTCAGACGTATTGCTTCCCATTTAGAAACTGGTATTCTCCACAATTTCACATTTGTGATTTTGTGCATTAATTAAATATTTCTTTAAGCCAATGAGAAACAAGAAAAATCTTGCTGAAAAACTCATGCAAGCAAAGAAGCAGCAAAATGCCCCCAACTCCAAAGCTCCTTCTGACAGCCCAGGCAGAACTTACGTGCATGCCGCGCTCGGTGCTTGTGAGGTCTGCTGTGATCCTTTTCCGAGCGTGGATCTTCTCCCTGCTCTGTGCCTTCTGATGAGACGGCAAAGGATACCAGAGAAGGAGGTGCTTCTGACTGCCCTCCTTCCACTGGAGAATCCACACACCCCTTTCCTGCCTGAAGCCTGCACCCTTCTGTCTTCTGCCTGTCAGAGCAGTCGAGGATCACTTCCACCCGGGGCAGTCTCGCATCTCCTGCTTCACTTTCCTGGATCACTCTCAACTCTCTGCCACTGGAGATCTGGATTATCTTGCTGGACCTCAGGAAAGGGTCTGCTTTCTCATTAGTGGGGATCGAATTTATGTGGACAATCTTGTCATGTGACAAGTTAGGGTCTGGGTCAGGAGACTTAGATTTTTCGGGTCCCGGGAGAGCCACTACAGGGCCACTAGCGCCCTTATGTCTCTCCTGTGAAAGGGACAGTTGCAGCTCAACCACAGGGCCAGGCTGTTCGGCTTCTATCTTCTCCCTTAAGATCAGCTCTTCTGTCACGCGTCCTCTTTGGGAGTCAGGCATTTGGGGAGCCCTCTGGTAGCTCAGGCCTGTTTCTTCTTTCAAGCTCCCTGCACAATCGGGACCACTTCTTTGATCCTCAGCTAGGGGAACTTCAGTCTTGACAGGGGCGAGGAAGAACTGTGTGCACTGGGTCTTTGTGGCTGGTCGAATCTGCAGGGTGGTACTTTCCACATGACCCCCATGTGTGAGATGCTCGAGGTTTTTGTTTTCATTTTCAGATATCAAAGCCTCACTTATTCCACTGGATGGTCTGCACACAGAAAAATCATTCCAGACACTTAAATCAGACTATGTTACATCTGCCAAAGAACTTCCTGACACTTTTGTGATGTCTAATACATGATATAGTCAAAATATTTTCTTCTAAATGTCAATTGCAACATACTTGAAAACAGAAGGTGGCAATATGTTCATATTATTACTTAAAGAGATACCAAATAAACTTTTTTAAAAGCACAACAAAACGCTTACGCAAGATTATGAAACCTGAATCCATCCTAAATTCAGCTTTTATTTGTAAAAAAAAAAAAAAAAAAAAAAAAAAAAACACACACACACACACAAAACATGGATCCCCTTTATCTGTAAGTACTTGGAATCTGGGTATCTCCGATAATGAGTTTGCTAGAATGTGACAAAACATTTCAATGTCTTTTTGACTAAGTTTTAGTCTAGACATTATGAAGTCAGATAAACATATCCAGCACCTTCAGATCAATCTTAACTTACAGATAACTCAAGAAGGCCTTTTTGAGGCTGTGCTTTCTTGAAAGGAATGAAATAGAAGCTGTTTTTTAAGCCCCAGTGAGCATGTGTTTTGTAATAAGTGGACCCAGCCCAGTACTCTTGTGTAAAGAGAAATCCTTTCCATGCTGCAATGAATCATTAAGTCATGGAGTATTTATAATCTGAAATGTCTCCCTTTCTTCTATTTGAACCTGTTTCTTGGAGCATTTTCTTTTTAGGATATCTGAAGTGAAACTGTTCCTTTATCTTTCAGCTAAGGAGCCTAGAGCTGTACACCACATTTCTTTGATTTGATCTTCCCGGTTGTTTGTGCAAATTTGGGTTTGTGAGAAGAAGCCATGTCAGTTTAAGAGTTAAATAACTTCTTTCTGAAACTCTAATTTAAACTGTAAATGTTTTTAGAAGTATTATTCACAGAACAGCTGTAGGAAATGCCTTCAATTTTTGTATTCGTATTTTTTTTTTAATTTTAGAAGCAGCATAATTATCTTTGCCCCTTTCCTCCTTCCTTAAAAGATAGTTATGACTAATGCAGGGAACATCAGTTGAAGGGCATGAGCTTGTACTTGTATTCTACTCAAAGGAATTTACCTTAGAATTTATGTGGTAGTGCAATTTCAGACCAATGCTCAAAATACTTACTACTAACTTTGCTTTCAACTGCATTTGGCAAAACAAAACTAAGCCAAATACAAACAAACTAACAGTTAAACAAAATGCACCTTTCTCTATATGCAAGTAATTGGAAAAGCTTCCTGGTAATACAGTATTTATACAACATTATAATAGAGTATTTAAAAAGCATGATGTTAGCCAATTAGATCACTATTATATAGAAAATGTTCAATACACTGTTAAACTGAATTTGAGGGTACCAAAAGGTCAGAGAGTTTTAATTTAGGAAGACCTTGGGATGGAAATAGATTAAATCACTTTGAATTATGTTAGCAATCAATTGTGAAGCTGAGAAGAGAATAGTTTCAATTCATGCCAGCCTTGTAGACTGGAATACAGACAAATGGCCAGATAAATATTAACATTTATCAGCAGCTGAAGTAAAATATATAGACATGAGTAAATAACATAAAAGCATGAGAGAGTAAAGCTTTATGCCTTAAAACAATCATTTCCCATCAGTCTACATACGTACTCATCAAGTCCACAATTTATGTGTCATAATTATAGAATTTTAAAAATCTTATTTGAATAACATTTAAGATAATAGAGACGGAATGCTAAAGGAGTTATTTTAAAAGAGTCTTACCTAGCTATCTCTGGGCAATAGTTCAGGAAAAGTAAAAACACTTGTCCTCCACTGATAGATGATAGTGATATGAGTGAGAGAAATATTTATTGCAGGAAACAATATTCAGATATTTAAAATAGTGGTAGTGGTGGTGATAATAATAATTGCTTTTGACTTCATTTTCAATTGCGATTCCACTTTGAATCCTACCAACTAGTTACTTATTTTGTAAATTTTTTATTTTATAAATTTAATTGTGTATTAGCAAATTATATATTTTATAAACTTATTTTCTCTTCGTAATATGAAGGAAGGATTCTCAGGCCTTAAACACTGGGTTTGATGGGTAAATATTTAGATTATAAGAATAATACTAGATTTCCATTGTTGTCTCAAGATTTTGGCCATAGTGAGTTCATTTTTATCCCAGAAGAGAATCATACTGAATGATCAGCAGAGGGGGAACTGTATGTAGTGCTTCTGCAGAGTTGAGGAAAAACCTGGAGGACTTTGAGGTTCATCTTGAGATGTCCTCTGACATCTTCCTAAAAGCTGCTCTCCAGGAAGTCAAAGCTTTCCTTTCTGGATTCATTATAATGCAATAGTCAGGGCTTCTGTTGCAAAATCAGTATGGACTGTACTGTGATTTGTACACCATAAAAATGGCAATGCTGTAGTTTTTTTTGTTATTGTCCTCATTGTTTTCTTTTGTTTTTATATTTGAAGGTTTCTTTTATATTGTTATACAACTACGTGGGGATAGTGGTATTTGAAGAGATTGAATTCCCAAATGACTTGTGTTGGTAGTGCAAAAACCTTGTTCTAATCATTTGCTTTTGTCCATCCCCAAATATTGGTTTTACTGGAGAAATCTGGCTGCTTGTAAGTTTTTGTTGTCGTTTCTCTTTTCTGTTTCTTAGTCATCCTCTTTTAACGAAAAATTGTACAGTTTAACCGTCTAATATCTAAACATTTTAAATTCATCTGTCCATCTGATAATTACAATTGAGTGATTCTGATCCATCACAAAATCTTGATCTATCAAAGAAATATTAAGTTATGCTCAATATACTGAGCTTTCTAAGGAAGGAGGCTAAAATACCTAAGATTTTCAACAAAGTGCTTTAAACAAGGATTTTCAACTTAATTCTCAATTAACCAGAAAGTTTGGTTGAATAGAATTGACTATTTTTCAAACACAGTTGTGTTTCTGTTTAACTGTACTAACCTTGTACAAAGCACCCCTAATTTCTCCATAAATGACAAATTATATATGTAGTAAAAGCTATAATTATTCCCATGTAGCTTCAAGAGAAAATACATATTCCAGCAAATCCATTGTACCTTTTGATGAGCATTTGGAGAGAGTCTGTTATGCTTTCCATGAGCTTGATGACTTCAGGGTAGGTGAGATCTGCACAAGGGTTGCCATTGATGGAAACCACTTCATCTCCCTCACAGAGCCCAGACCCGGAGGCTTTGCTCTGATTTCGAATCTGAGTGGAGTAGAAAAGGAGACATAGCAGAATGATATAATTTATAAAAAGCAAGCCACCATCTCTGAGAAACAAGTCTGTCAATTGTAACACCAGCCCTGATTTTTAATTCACTATTAACCTGTAAGACCATTTGAACACTTCTTACCACACTATGAACACACACACAGACACACACTTTATCATGTATTAACATTTACCATAATATCAACATTTAATTCATAGCATTGTAAGCAAACAGGAAAAAAGAAAGTAAATCAATGTAAAGGAACCAGACAGAATAAAAGAAATAAAAAACAGAGCAGAATGACAAAAGATGTTCAACACTTACATTGATGACATTAAAAATAATTATTCAGGTCAGGCATGGTGGCTCACGCCTGTAATCCCAGCACTTTGGGAAGCCAAGGCGGGTGGATCACGATGGCAGGAGTTTGAGACCAGCCTGGCCAACATGGTGAAACCCCATCTCTACTAAAAAGTACAAAAATTAGCTGGGCATGGTGGCATGCACCTGTAGTCCCAGCTACTCAGGAGGCTGAGGCAGGAGAATTGCATGAACCCAGGAGGTGGAGGATGCAGTGAGTCAAGATTGCACCGTTGCACTCTAACCTGGGCAACAAAGCAAGACTCCATCTCAAAAATAAAATAAAATAAAATAAAATAAAATAAAATAAAATAAAATAATTCAGGCCAGGCACAGTGGCTGACACCTATAATCCCAGCACTTTGGGAGGCTGAGGCAGGTGGATCTCTTGAGTTCAGCAGTTTGAGACCAGTCTGTTCAACATGGCAAGACCCTGTCCCTACAAAAAAAAAAAATTACAAATAATGCAAAAATTAGCCCAGCTTAGTGGTGCATGCCTGTGATCCTAGCCACACAGGAGGCTGAAGTGGGAGGACTGTTCGAGCCAGGAGGTGGAGGTTGCAGTGAGCCCAGATCACGCCACTGCACTCCAGTCTGGAGGACAGAGCAAGACCCTGTCTTAAAACATAATTTTTCACTCCAGTGAGAAAGTGATCTCCTGCATTAAAATAAATTTTAAAATCCTTCCCATTGCCAAGGTGAATGAAATGCCATGACTATAAGAAAGAGGTATAAGACAGGGCAACTTGTTTGAGGAGAGAGCTGTACAGCTAAATGGACTGATAAAAACCATCCCAGTATAGATGGTGGGGCACCAGGGAGCCTGGATATTAGAGAGTATGTCAAAGAGAGAAATGCTTCATTGAAATCAGCTACTCCAGGCATGGTACTAAGCAAACTTTAGCAAAAAAAGAAAAAAAGGAATGAAAAAGAGATTACTTTGCAGAAAGTAAAAGCAGCAGCCCTGCCATAAGCATTGGGTCATATTCTACTGGAATATTCTTATTCCAGTAAGAGATCAAAGACCAAGGAAAATGAGAGGTCAGGTCTATGCTCTCCTTGGTGGACCTGCTGGGCCATGGCTTGGCAATGGCTCTGTTCTTCAGTCTAGAGAGTCACAGCTTCTGTCAGCCTGCCCCTCTATCATTGCCTTAACTCTTGTTAGGTTCCAACAACACACATTATCTCCTTGTACCTTTGTGCCTACAGGTGATAATAGCTTCCTGCTCTCAATCTCTGGGTTTCTGGGTGCTTCATTATCATTTGTTGGTTCCCTTAAGACTACTTTTAGTCTCTGCATTACATTATCTTGAATTCTTCCTTGAGCATGCCATCTATTTCCTGCTGGAGCCCTAAGTGATACTAACATGCTTAGATTTCATTTTATGAGTGCAATTGTTCTCAATGAACCATGTATGATGACCATACAGTCTCAAATTTAAGAATAAGATACTTTTTCAGATTTTTTCTACCAAGTATTATTCCTTTTTATTAAAATAAAGCTTCTGAGCCTAGAGAGGTGAAAACCAGGTAGGCGGCACTTCTTGAAGAATATTTTCATGGCTAGACTTATTTCTGACTGGGCACAAAATGTATTTCAATTTATCTCTAAAAGTTGCCCACTAATTCCTGCTAAAGTCTTAAATGATAATTCATATATTAACTCATATAGGTTTAACGTTTACATCTACAAGTTCATTTTAAATGACACTCTCGAAAGCAAAATATTACCTTTAAGAGCCAAAGCAATGGCATTATTGAAATTTGAAGTGATTCAATTAGTTTTGTTCTTGGAGAGCCCATCCTTCTATTGTCATAAATTATAATCTATAGAAAGCCTTCCCCATTTCTGACAAATCAATATCATTACCTCTTGCAGAAGAATATACTAATTTATTGGAAAATATAATTTATTTTTGGAATATACTAATTTATTGGAATATACTAATTTATTGGAAAATACTAATTTATTGGAAAATATTAAATGAACTCAATATTCCAAGACTACAAGAAAGTCACAAAAGCAATGAGAAAGAAGATTTCACCGAATTTTGAAAATATCCATTTAGCTGTTAAATATATTTGTTTTGTTTTGTCTTGCATGAAATATTTAAAATGAAAGATCACAAGAAAATTTTTAATAAGTAAAGGATACAACAATATCTAACAATGAACATCTGTGTCAGGGTTAGAATTATTCACATTTCAGTTACTGAAATTTATTTATTAAAAAAATTAGGTAAATAATAGGGCATATTTTTGAGGCATAAAATCATTCATTAAATGGAGTCAGATATACCAGGATTCGAACAGAAAATTCACCCTTTGGAGGACCAAGGAGGTTTTATGTTGATAAAACAGAGGTGTCATTATACTCTGTACACCCCAAGATCCAATCTTAGGTAGAAGTTCTCTTTTTCACCCATGAGTCGTCTGAGTTTTAAACTGGGATTGCGGAAGAAGATGAAAAATTGATTCTTTAAAAATAAATAATCTCCCAACTTAACAGAGCTGCCTGTTATCCAAACATGTGTTGCTTGATAGGAAAAGCGCAGTTCATCATCCTGCTTGTCAAGTTGGAGCTTTTAATGGTATCTAAATAAGCCAGTGCATCATGGTAAGAGTCATTAGCATTCCTTCAGAGAAAACATTTTGAGGTCAACATTCACAATCAACTGCTGTGATTGCGTTTCACTGACCTTTCACATTGATCTGAACAACAAGGAATCTTTTTCCCTCAAGAACGTTGTTACATATGATGAGAACTTTTCTTGTCACTTAATTTTTTCTGAAGGACTACTCTTTTTCCATTTTTTATGGAACTATTCAACCAAATAAATATGGTATGACAGGGTCTTATAGTATCAAGAAGGATAAATATGTATTAGTGTACCTAAGATCCTTACCTTCTATTGTGCATAATTATGTATTTTTATAATTGTATAATTGTGCATGTTTATGTGAATAAAGATTCTAACACTTGGAAACGTTCTTATTTATGAAAATGAAAGACACTGTGCATCACAAAACTAGATTTAGACACACAAATTATTAGTACTGATGATACCAATTATCTATCAGTGAACTTATCAACCAGTCTCCTTAAGCCATTAGTCTTGGATTGATAAAATACATGTAGTAGTGGGAAAGGGTACCAACTCTGAGGGAACAAGACATGGGTTTCAACTGTGTTGCGCCTATGCTTACTACCTGTCTGAACTTAGGTGAGTTACGCCACCACCCTGAGCTTTAGTTTTCTAAAGTGTAAAATGGTGCTAATAAATTTTATCAGTCTAGATGTTTAATTAGGATTAGAAATAATGTGTGTAAAGTTCCATGATGTACCTACAGCTCAAAGAGGTGCTCAAGAAGGGATTGGTGAATTCAGATGTGTTGGCTTACTACACACACACAGTTATATGTAAACTATTTTTAAAAATTAAAAAATAGACAATATTATGACTCAATGTGTTACCAATTCAAAATTGAGTATAATTATCTTTCATAAACTGTGATTTGACACAAAATACCTGTGTGAGCACATGATGGAATTCCTTTCCCTTGAAAACATTCCTTTAGAGACCTCATTCCACACATAATATATTAGACCCTGAGCGAGTTCTTATCCCGAAAATATTGGATTCTTTTTCAGTGTCTCCCAATTTAATCAGATCACATAACTAAGAGATATTGGTAATGTCAGTAGTTACCAAATGCAATACTGTGTTTCATTGCTTACCACCTTTTTGTTTTGTTTTGTTAATTTTTATTTTAGGTTTAGGGATACACGTGAAGGTTTGTTACAGAGGTAAACACCTGTCATGGGGGGTTGTTGTGCATATTATTTCATCACCCAGGAACTAAGCCCAGTACCCAAAAGTTATCTTTTCTGCTCTTCTCCCTCCTGCCAGCCTCCCCCATCAAGTAAACCCCTGTGCCTGTTGTTTCCTTCTTTGTGTTCATAAGTTCTTATCATTTAGCTCCCACTTATAAGTGAGAATATGCAGCTTACCACCTTTAAAAACTTTTTATTTAAAATTATGGATACATAATTGTTATACATATTTATAGGGTATATGTGATATTTTGATACAAGCTAATGATCAAACCAGGGTAATTAGGGGGTCCATCACCTCAAATATTTATCATTTCTTTGTGCTAGGAACATTTCAATTGCACTGTTTTAGTTATCTTGAAGTATACAATAAATTACTGTTAACTATAGTCATCTTATGCCACAAAACACCAGATCCTATTTCTTCTAACTGTATTTTTGTACCCATCAGCCATCTCCAGTTTATCCACCTCTCTTCTCTACTACCCTTCCCAGTCTCTGGTAACCATCATTCTACTCTCTATCTCTTTTATCAAAAAGAGAGCTAATAATGCATGCTGGCAAGGATGTGGAGAAAGGGGAATCCACATACCCTGTTGGTGGGAATACAAATTAGTCCAGTCACTATGGAGAACCACATGGAAGCTCCTCAGAAAATTAAAACTAGAACTAGCCAGCAATCCCATTCCTGGTTGTATATTGAATATAAAGGAAATCAGTATATTAAAGAGATATCTGCACTCCCAAGTTTATTGCAGCACTATTCACAATAGTCAAGATATGGAATCAACCTAAGTG